TTCGTTATGGAGATCCCACCAGACACATTTAAAGAATTGATTGTCTGATGAGTACTAGGATAAATTATGTAGATAAACTAATGTACATCTTTGGTTTTAGTTCCTGTGGGAAAATAGATTGGATGAAAAAGAATATAATACATATAATACCAGCTTCAACAGGTATTGCTAATTGGCGACAATAATACAATTCGAACTGCACACAAAAGCAATTGTAACAATTTTGTAGGAATTTTCAATACACGTATCGCACGTCGAGCACTACTGCAATGTTAACTTTGATTAAAACAATCAAACGCAGTTCAAATCAAGGCCATTTTAATTTTGACTGTCATAAACAGTCTTCAACCAATCAAACGCACGTTTTGTCGTGTTATTTAACTGATTCAGGCATTATAACATAAAAAGTAGGTTAAAAAACATTTTAAAAATTTCAAACGGCATGGTATAATATAATTAATTAAACATCATTTTCAACTTCTAAATTGAATAAATGATTTTTCATATTGATCAAAATAGCATTTGCATTTTGCAGTATTCAGCAAAATTAAAAAAAAAATTACAATTTTATATTCCAGAACATTCCTTATTAATACAGATGAAAAAAAAAGGAAAAAGAAAAAAAAAGAAATAACTGGCAGTGATTATTCATAGTGATCAAAGTCCAATTGATTTCCTCAAAAAAGAAAAAAAAACAAAAAAAAACAAAAAGCCCAGTTGATTGATTGTCCCATCCCCGACTAATAATTGAGGCAGAAATCTTACGTATTCTAAGCTATTCAATGAGGCAGATCACCAAAGAAAGATTTTTTTTTCGTCTCTTTTGATATACATATATAGTTCTACTTTTATCGATCTCTTTCTCTCTTCTTACAAACAACTATGGAGTCCAACAAGAACCAAAATGTTCTTCATATAGCAATGTTCCCATGGCTAGCCCATGGCCACATGATGCCATTTTTTGAGCTCTCCAAGTTCTTAGCTCAAAAGGGTCACAAAATTTCTTACATTTCAACCCCTAATAACCTCAACCGCCTCAAAAAACTCATTCCCCAAAACCTTTCCCATCTCATATCCTTGATCCCACTTCCTCTTCCTCACGTAGATGGATTGCCTCAAGGCACTGAGTCAACCTCCGAGTTACCGATCCACAAGGTCCCTTTCCTCAAAAAGGCCTACGACAAGCTCCAACTCGCCTTGACTCAGTTCCTCAAAGACTCAAACGACGTGAACTGGATTATCCACGACTTCGCATGTCATTGGCTATCCCGAGTCGTCGTGTCGACTCAACTCGGGATCAAGCTAGTTTTCTTTGCCATATACAACGCCACCACGATGTCGTTTTCAGGATCACCGTCGGAGTTGCTAAATGGCTCCCGTCAGCGACCAGAGGACTTCACTGTCGTTCCGAGGTGGATGGACTTTGCTTGTAACGACGTCGCTTTTAAGTTGTATGAGATAACGAGTCACTGGGACTGCATGGACTCGGAGGTCTCTGATTTTCAACGGTTCGATGAGGTGCTCCAAGGTTGCGATATCGTTGTAACAAGGACGTGTTCCGAATTTGAGTCCGACTCACTGAGTCTACTCAGAAAGCTTTACCAAAAGCCAGTTCTTCCGATTGGACTGTTGCCACCACCTTGGAAAGGTGAAGAATCCCATGGAGACGAGAGATGGAGAGGTTTGAAGCAGTGGCTCGACAGTAAAGAGGAGAATTCGGTGGTTTACATCGCACTCGGTACCGAGTTGAGTCTGAATCAAGATTTGATTCACGAATTAGGTTGTGGGATAGAAAAATCCGGGTTGCCCTTTATCTGGGTGGTCAATAATCGGCCACTAGTTGAAGGAACTTTTGGTTCAAATTTAATTCCAACTGGGTTTGAAACTCGGGTCTCGGGTCGGGGCTTGGTATGGAGGGGTTGGGCTCCCCAACTCAAAATCTTGGGTCACCCGTCGGTGGGTGGGTTCTTGACGCATTGCGGTTGGAGTTCAGTTATTGAAGCGCTTGGATTTGGAAAGGCGTTGATTTTGTTTCCCGGGGGTAGCTCGGATCTCGGGTTGGTTGCGAGGCTTTTACACGGACGGGGAATCGGGTTAGAAATACCTCGAGATGAGAAAACCGGGTCATTTACTAGTAATTCAGTGGCTGAGTCAATTCAACGAGTTATGGTTGACCCAGAAGGAGAGCCGCTCAGGGCAAAGGCACGTGACATGAAGGATATTTTTGGCAACGTGGAACTTCAGAACAAGTACTTGACTGAGTTCACTGAATTCATTGTAAATTATAATTCGAAAAGTAATTGATCCGCTTTATAAACTCGCCCTGCTATGTCGTAAGAGAGAACTTGTTGACGACTTCCCGGTAGGAGAGACTTGTTTGCCCCCTCCCCCCCCCCCCCATTTTCATCCCCACTTATTTAAACTATAGAATTGCCCAAAATTTTGGAAGGAGCGGAATATGATCATTTTTCTCTTTCTACTCGTTTGTGTTAAATAAAGTTTTTTTTTTCCTAAAAAAAAGTTTTTTCCCCTCTTCTCCCAAAAAAATAAAATAAAACCTCAAAAAATCGAATGGCTCTAAGGAAAGAGAGATGCGAAAGTTTTTTTTCCCCCCCCCCAAAGAAGCAGGAAATTTTTTTTTTTTTTTTACATAGAAATGTCTTAAGAAAAAAAAAAAATTTAAATGGTGGTCTACTGCCACTCTTCAATCCACTCTTCTCACCCCTTGCTAACTCATTAGTTTATACTAAATATATTTAACTCACAAATTTAATCATTAAAAAAATAATCTAATATTGTAGTAAAATGGGGCTTTTTTACCTACCCCACTTTTAATGTTGGGGGAAATTTCCCCCGCTCAAATCTTGGACATTAATTCGAATGACATGGAATTATTTAATAATAAAAATGTCATTCTACTATTAAAATTCATTGAGGGCATGTAAGGGCGCTAAAAGAGCAATGATAATTACACTTCAACGACAACCTGCTACAAACTTTAGACGACATATAAGGGTGCGTTTGGTAGTGTTTTTTAAATCCCAAAATCACTTTTCTAATTATTAAAAGTTTATAATATTATTTGGTAAAAATTATAAAAAGTAATTTTTAAAAAATTTTCAGCTAAAATTAGAAGCAATTTAAAAATAATTTTAATTTTTAAATTGTGTAAGAATTAATACAGTACAATTAATAATTATCAACAAAGTTATATTAAATAATTAATAATTAATTACTATTACAAAGTTATAGTAAGATTAATCTTCTATGTCAGTGAGCTTTGTAATCTTGAGTATTGGTGTGGTAATGATGTAATTCATAACCTCTCTGTTCTGAAACATGAGTAGAAGTTAAAATATGTTGTCACTTTAGCATGACAAATTACCTAATAAGCGCAATAATTGTCCATGGGTCCGAAAAGATGACCAAAATCATAGCGGCAGAGCAAATTGTGAATGATTTGAACTGACATGGGTGTGGCCCCTAGTAAGGGGTATTTATCAATATCTTGTCATGTACATGTATGCATGAGACAAAAAGATTTGTGAAAATTCTATCAAAAAAATGTATCTATGATTTTTGAAATATCCCATTTTGGCGATATACTATATATAATATTAATATCAAAATAATTACATTACCAAAAACATAAATTAAAAAATAAACACAGACAATTTTCACTTAGTTTGATAAAAACTTGCATTTATAGGATTACACTCAACTATTGAATCATCCACTAATTATTAAAATTACAGTTAGTAATAGACTTAAGCAATAAAAGACTCTCTCTTTTACTTGTCACTTAAATATTGCAACAACTAAATGACCTAATTTAACGAGCACCACTCATCTTTAATTCTGCACGATAAAATCCCTTTTATCATATAAAATAGAATTCAAGTAGCTTGGAAGACTAAATGACCTGATTTAGCGAGCACCACTCATCTAAAATTCCTTCTATCATATAAAAATAATCCAAGTAGCTTGGAGGTACTAGCTTTGCATGAACTTCGTAAGTGGGAATGAAAGAGTAGAAGAGGGATTTCCAAGCCTTAGAACATTATCAATCAGAGATATCCCAAAACTAAGAAGTATTTGCCAATGGGCATTGTCTTTTCCTTGCTTGGAGACTGGCTGTGATTGATTGTCAAGGCAATAATGCCTCCAATTTATTGTTGAGACACTACATGTAAAACTGACCTAACACACTTTAAGAGTCCAACTTGACTTAAAATGTTAACTTATTAAGTTTTGAGTCATTTTATGCATATAAGCTATTTCACATCTTCATCCATTTTCCATGTAAAAGAACACCCACATATACATTTCTCAACACAATTTGCCAACAATTTATGGTTCCATGCAATGGTGGGATGAATCCACCATTGAGTATGCTTTAGTTCCTTACTTCATTGCAACTGCTTGGTGAAGAAATTACTAGTGTTAGTGTTTATATGAGTATATATATATATATATATATTAAATATGAATATAATTGTTTTTATTTTAATTTTTTTAAGTTTTTTTATTGGTATGAAATTATTTATTACTTCATGCAATCTCCACAATAAATTTGAGTTAAAAAGTGAATTTATATTAAAAAAATACTGTAGGAGAGAAAAAATTAATTTAAATTTTTGTAAGTGAAACTATTTTAGTAAAAAAATTTGAATTATGACTGGATTGGTAAATTAACGGTGTCGAAAAAGTTTGAGTTTCTTGATAATTTTTTACAATCAAAGTGCATTAATGGATAGAGAGTGTTTTACACTACTATTTTCTTTTTGGAACGTCATGCTTTATTAATGACAAAAGAAGGCATCAACGTCCCGCGAGCAGTCAAAAAACAAAAAAAACAATAGAGGCTAAAGAGTGGGCAATCATATTCCAACTTTAAATGGGCATCAATGGAATCAAAAATTGTAAAGTTATTATTGAAAACTCTAGCTTCAACTATAATTACCTTCAGAATGGGCAAACATAAATTGAATCCCAACCTATAGACTTTAGTTTTTGTAAGGTGTTAGATCTAGATTGTCTCGCTTACATGGAGAAGAAAGATAATAGGCTTCACATAGCAATCTTCCCTTGGCTAGCTTATGGCCATGTTAAGACATTCTTTGAGCTCTCCAAGTTCCTAGCTCAAAAGGGTCATAAAATCTCTTTCATTTCCACCCCAAAGAACCTCCAACGTCTCCCAAAACATCCTCACATAGACTTTGTTTCCTTTCCCTTACCTCACGTCGATGGCTTACCACAAGGCACTGAGTCAACCTCCGAGTTGCCGATTCACAAAGTCCCTTTCCTCAAAAAGGCCTACGACAAACTCGTTCCCTCTTTAACTCAGTTCCTCAAAGAATCAACCGACATCAAATGGATCGTCCATGACTTCCTCTGCCACTTGGTTCCACGAGCTGCGACTCAACTCGGTGTCAAATCGGTCTTCTTCACCATAAGCGCCGCCACTTCGCTGGCCTTTTTCGGGCCGCCCTCTGAGTTGCTCGGCGGTAGCCGCCAGCGACCGGAGAACTTCACCGTCGTCCCTGAATGGTTCGACTTCGAAAGCAACGTCGCTTATAAGTTGTTCGAGATCAAGGGTCATTGGGAATGCATGGACGAGGACGCCAGAGATCCTCAGCATCTTGCAGAGATGATTCAATGCTGCGATATCGTCGTTTCAAGAACCTCACCCGAGTTCGAGTCCGACTCACTGAATCTACTCAGAAAGCTTTACGGGAAACCGGTTCTTCCTATCGGTTTCTTACCCATTTCTCCACAAGACCTTCATAGCGTGAGCGCAGATGAAAGATGGGGAACTTTGAGTCAGTGGTTGGACAGCAAGGAAGAGAACTCCGTCCTTTACATCGCATTCGGTACGGAATTGAGTCTGACTCAGGATTTGATGCACGAGTTAGCTCGTGGGATAGAGAAATCCGGGTTGCCCTTTATTTGGGTCATTAAAGATAGCCCACTTGTTGAAGGGCAATTGGGTTCGGAAATAATTCCACCTGGGTTTGAAACCCGAGTAGCAGGGCGAGGTTTGGTGTGGAGGGGTTGGGTCCCACAACTTAGTATACTGGCCCACTCTTCGGTGGGCGGGTTCTTGACTCATTGCGGTTGGAGCTCCGTTATCGAGGTGCTCGGGTTTGGGAAGCCATTGGTCTTGTTTGCCGGGGCAAGTTCGGATCTTGGGTTGATTTCGAGGTTGCTACATGGGAAGCGGGTCGGGTTGGAAGTGCCGAG